GTTCGTTTTTTTGATTTTCTATTGTGATCAATGTTAAATTGTGTTGAGCTTTTTATTTGTCTCTGATCAATATGTGACTGATTGATAATAAAATAAAATATTTTTCAAAAAAATGATATTTATATTTCTCACTTTAGATAATGATGAATGTTGTGATTTAATATGAGCAGATTGTGTTTTATTATTTGACCATTCATTTAAACTTTGATTAAAACTTGATTTTGAATTTACAAGATCATTAATCTATTTGGAAAGAAAGAAAGAAAATGAATAAAATCTAGAGATTATAAAACTAACTGAAGGAAATTTATCAATATTATTGACATTGTTATTTTCATTTCCAGTAAGAGAATTATTCTGTGATCGAATTTTTGTATGAATGATGATCATTGATTTTGCACTATTTGTTTTTCTTCGATGAATACATTTCTCAATTGATTGTTGACGAGAAACTCTAGGAAGACTTGATTGTCTATATTGTCTTGGTGTTACTGCAGAGTGAGCAGATGAAAGTAGTCGTTGATCATTTTTATCTATCATTGTATTTGATATATTTTTTTTCTTGATGTTATTTAAGACAACAATATCTTCCTACCCTAGTGAAGGTACTCGTCAAGAGAGTACTCAAAAAGTACTCACGCTAGAAAATGCCGCGAGTACTCATGAGTACTCATGGGTTTTGAGTACTCATCAGTAGTACTAATGCTAGAATCCGAGTATCTGAGTACGACGATCGAGTACTTACTGTGTAATATTGAGTCTTTTGTGAGTACTCATATACAGTTTTTGTGTATTCTAACGGTTTTTTTAAAATACTCATGGATCTATATTCTATTCAGTACAAGTGTACCACATTTATTTTATTTAAATATTAAAGTAAAAACAAAAAATACATTAATACATTACGAAACTTGAAATAAAAATAAATTTGATAATTTAGGATTTTACACCAAGTTAATTTTTTTACACAGAAAATCGATACTTCTCGTCATTAGAAAAACAGAAAGATTAAAGAAATTTACGCCTTCAGAACAAGAAATCATTAGTAAATAAAAATGAATAATAAATTATTCACGAAATCAAGATATGGTTTAACAATACACGTATAAAATATATAATAAGAAAAAAAACATATTTCAGACTGAAAAACAGATTTGAGTTACTACTATTAAAAAATGGACGATAAATAAATAAATCGTCTATTATATGATGCATATTTCTTCGCTATAAAAAATTCTAACGATATTTTTGGTGGAAGTAATTGTTCATTTTTTGTTTCATTAATTTTCATCATTAATGTGAAAAAAAGCTTTGTACTGATCTAGAAGGATATTTCATCTAAAATTGAATAAATGAAACCGAACATATCAACATTCACATTTTAAAGAAATATACAACCTTACTTAGGAAACGAACAGTTGAAAAATGAAAAGTCGTTATTTCATTCTTCAACTAACCATTCATAAAAGCAGCATTTATAAATTGTCGGAAAAAATGGGGGATAAAAAATTTGAGTCGTTAAAATAGTTTTTTTTGTATTTTTGATTTAATTACATCAGTTTTTTGCCTTATACAATTTTATCCGATTTTTTTATATTAGTGCATAAGTGCTTTGCCAAACATGTTGGAAAAACCGTGGATGAGTACTACATTGAGTACTCAAGCTATTGCCTTCGAGTAAATTTTAGAGAAAGAACTCATCTGAGTACTCGATAGAGCACACGAAAAGTAGAAATACACATAAAATTTCGCGAGTACTACTGTGAGTAATATGAGTACTCATGCTGGCAAGTCGTACTCGTTTGATGAGTAGTTTCACTAGGGTACTGATTTGGTAGAGAAATGATCGTATGATTTTGAATTTTTATTGAAGAATAAAAAGAATGAATGAATACCTAGTTGAGTGTTGTATTAACTTATTTTATTATTATTCTGTATGTTTATTAAAGGTTTCTTTTTCTATAATAATATAAATAATTAACACATGTGATGGTATTGTTTGTAGAAAAAATATAAGACGTTTCGAACATTGATTATAAATTCATAGAGATTCATCACTCTAATTTCAAGAATAATCTTGAATATTTGTTTTTGACTGTCCTTCGTTCAAAATTAATTTTTCATTTGAATTACTAGGGTGTGGGTGTGGGTTTGGATAAATTGAAGATCAATAACCACACCCATATTCACATCAACATCCACACCCACACCCACACCCTCTAGATCAAGTTTGAAAGATGTGAAAATTTTTTCAACAATCTCAATCAAGTATTGTCACTAGATTCAATTACGTTTTAATCGTTATTCAAAATTATTAGCGAACAATTCTCTGTTGATTCATCACTGATTCTCAATTCAGCAGTGCATCTAAAGGTGTTGATCATTTATAATAAAATCAATTTAAAAAATTCTATCTCGAAGACGTTCAACAAGAAAATTCACTTTATATCTTTACTCTGCATGCATAAATTGTTCTCAATCATACAATATCTTTGTCAATCTTGATAGTCTGTCATGAATCAATTCTTCGTTTTTTATTTTTATCAGTGTTTCACCAAGCTTATTGGTCTGATTTATCCAACGAAAATAAAATATTCGATAAAGGTCCAGTGGTCCATTCTTTGTATGGTATGATGTTTCCGCCTTGCTTCCAGACCCAAGCTGTCGGATCTATTTCCGAAACAATTTTACCACTGAACTTTTTGAGATAAATATGTTTTGTAGCCGGATGAGTCACTTGTACAAGAGCATAACGGAAACCTCGTGTTTTTACAAGCATGTTCACAGACGAGTTGACTTAAATGAGTAGCCAATCCCTTGCCCATTTCACTTCCTTTGGTGACCGTTACTCCAATATACAAGATCATGTTGGGTTTTAGTTCTTCATCTAAATTGCTGATGAACATATCGTCCAATTCCTCCAAGGGATAGTTGAACATGTAAAAACCAGTGTAGGGTTCGTGATAAAGACGATAGAGGTACAAGTCACCGCTGATATTACATCCGCCAATTTCTTGTGTTGTTCGATCACGAGCAAAGAAGGATAAATGTTCATCGAGAACTTGGTTGATAAAAGGAAGAGAAAGTTGTTCAAAATGTTGTTCAGCAGTGATCCCTCGGGCTATAGTGATCGCATTGAACTTGGTGAATGAGTTAGCTACTAGATGTGCGCACTAGATGTGTGCATCTTCATTCGAAGTCAGCAATTCATAAGAGTAACTCAGATCGTTATTCATATTCGAAGGGAACATGTATATTCAGTAGCTTTAACAAACATGTGATTTTTTTACTTTCTCCTTATCATATAGAGATAGTCTTTATCGAGACCATGATTTCTTTTTCTTTTCATTTTGTGTTGTGGAGACGAAAAGGGAACAAGCAGACGCTGCTTTTTTCTTTCTTTTCAAATCTTAATATGGAAATAGGAAAAGATTCTATCGTAACTAATTTATCGACTACATTTATTTATTATTTCTTAGCATTGACAATATTCTTCTCAATGTTTTTCTATTTACAAATAGATTTATAAAGGGTGACCCAGAAGTCCTGACTCGATTTGTATAATTAATTTTTTTATCTTAAAGCAGATCTTTAAAAATTTGTCTCTATGATAGAAAGATGCAGTAAAAGACGCTCTACAAAACGGCCGGCCTATGACTGATTCTCCCTAACTCATATATTAAGAAAGTTATCAGCTTAGAAATATGCATCACAAAAAATAAAAATTAACCGTGGACATTTTAGAATGATGAAAACTTTATTTTGTTCGAAAAATGTTGTTTTAATTATAAAATATTTCTTTATCATGAGTGTTACAACAAAAAACATTATGGATCAATGTTCATAAACTTGATTTCCATTGAATTGGATCACTTTTGCAAGGCGTTTAGGTATGTTATCTATCATTGCTTCACATTGCTCAGGTGTAATTTTTCGCCATTCCGAATTAATAAAATCAACTAACGAATCAATATTTTCAAATATTTTTCCTCTTGTTTTTTCCTTCATAATCCCCCAAATGTTTTCAATGGGCCACACATCTGCAAATTTAGTATCTTCATCATTTGGTTCGATTCTTTCTTCACAGAAATCATTTACAACATCCATAGCTATTTTCGTTCGATGTTTTGAATCTTGATCATCTTAGAATATGACTTCGTTCAGATTTTCATTATATAACGTCTTTCAGATTTTTCTTTAGATCTATTCTATACAATGAATGACAACAACTATTTAAAGAATTTTCTTAAGTAGTTTATGTTCGAATTCTTTCCTATTTAAAGGAATCACATGAATTTCGGTCTGGACTAAAATTCCGGTGATTTTTCGACTAAGGCCGCAAATCATATAGGACATTCGGTCTGGACTCAAATTCTACTGATTAATTTCCCTAAAAAGTCGAAATCTTGTGAAAAGTTAGCGCAACTCGTTGTACTTAGCAGCATGTGCTTTTATTAAAATGTAGTACCGAGGGTGGGTGTGAGTGTTGGCGTCGATATTACAGAAGCCTACATCCACACCCACCCTATGGATAGCTCCTTATCTTTTGCATGAATGACATCGCATAACAAGAAAACGATCGAAGTGACTTGCAGTAAGTTGGTAAATGAGTACATGATTGCTAGTTTTTCTATCCATAATGTACGTGAGAATAAATGCATAGATTTGAACATGTTTGAATATTCACAAGAGACTTAGAAATATTTCAATATGAGAAAGTTCTCTACAATTCACTTTCACTTTCCAAACTGAGATTGGTATGCATTTTGATTTTATTTTAAAGTTCGTCTCGGATTGATTTATATCGATCATGGAGAAAATATCTAATAGAAATATTTTCTAAATAGTAAAAAACTAAAAAGATGATTTATTTCTAAAACAAAATATATTGTTCATAAAGTGTCTTGGTTAAGAAAAAGTAACAGTTGCTGGCCCAGTTATGACTATAGAGAAGAGTCCTGTAATGTTTGGAGAATAAGTGGTTGCTACTAAAACATAATTATCAGATGGAAGCGAAATTTGAAAATAAAACTGTCTATTAAATCCATTGTCATCGTCATGTATCAGTAAATTGGTGGATGGACTTGTATCATTAAAATATTTTTCATATAAATAGCCATACATGTCGTTATTACTACTACTCTGGAAACTGTAAAATCCTCTGGTGGAAACCATTAATTGAATTGCTTTGTAGTAATATTGAGTGTCGTTGGCTCCCGGTCGTTTATATGTTGGACTATTTCTTGTTAATAAACTTCTATAAATTGATTGTTTCATTTGATGTTCTACAAATACCAGAAAGATTAGAGAAGAATAGCTTTTTATTTCATTTTCTTTTCAATGAGATCGAATTCTCATCCAAAGAAAAATTTTTGGATAAAATGATTATGTAAATACTTCATGCAAAATTAACTTTCGTCATGTTTTTTATTTGATACAATCTAGAAAACTAATTCTAAGCTTAATATAACGAAAAAAAATATATTTCTGAAGGACATACATTTCTTTTTCTCGTTGTGTAATTATTCCAAAGGATTTTTCTATCTTTATTCTTCCTACAACCGTTAAAGCTATTCATTTTAGCAATTCACTTATGTGTATCAATGGTTTATGGGAGAATATATATATACCTAATTCTAAACTTTGTTTTATGTAACTAGTTATCAGCTGAGAATTTTAGAAAATAAAGTAATCCTATTCAAAGTTTTTGTTTTGAGATGCAACATTCGAAGGTGGTATCTATAATAAAATGTGGTATATTAGTTAATGTTTTTGTCGTTTGTAAATACCTCTAGATACAAAGTTTGTTATGCCAAGAGCAATTCCAAAAATGATAAAGGGAGGTATAATAATTAAACAGATAATTATAAGAATTTTCTTAATGGGACATTGATTTACTTGTCGAGTTATTCTAGTTAAATTCGAGGTTTGTTCTGGAGCTACTCGTACATTGATATTTATCGATAATCTTCGTAGAGGTGGCAATATAATAGAAGCATCATGTGCATTATAGGAAACAGTTGAATTTCGTCCTTGATGAGCAAGATGTCTCAAACGATCATCGGGTTGTAAATCATTGATTTGTAAAGGCTGTCGAGTGAGTGGACTTGTCCCATGTTGTAAAATCCATCGTGTAATAGCTTCTCTTTCATAAACATGCCCATCTTTTGCAATGACCGGATCGCGAAACAGTTCAAAGGTAATTGGACAAATAAGATCAGGATTTTCAATGTCTGTTTTACTATTTTCTTCGGTCATACTTTCCAGTCATCATATTCAATAATGTTTTACACTTTCATCATCAACAAGAAAACAGAACTGATTTATTTCTCTTCTTGTTTATGACAAACTATGTCACATGAAATTTTTCTTTTTCTTTCGTTCTTAACAACAAACTTTTCAAGAGATACAACAATTTAGCATCCTGCTGAGCTTTTGTACCAGAGACATTATTAATAGATACATTACAATTCAAATTAATCCCAATTATTTTCCTTAAACTAATTGATCATTTATAAAAAGTATCATACTTTGTTGTTCTAAACAGATGTTGCTCATTTTTGCACACATTTTCAGACGTCCTAGTGGAAATATTTATTTATGTTTAATTAGTTAATCTATTCATTTCCCATTTGTTGGCTTAGATTTTTTCTTTTCGATGTTATTTATCATATATAGAGAAGGAGAAATACTTTGCATTTGACAGAACACATTCTGACCCATTTTTTTAAAATGTAGAAGAGAGTTCTCTTTAGAAATTCTGCACGATTATGTATGATTGGTTTTCCATCGCACAAAAACGAAAGTTCAGATTCGAGATTTGTTATCTATGGGAGATAATAGATAGCTTGCTTTGTCATGTAGCAAAGCTTTCGAATTGCTACGAAAAGAGGGTGTGGGTATGGGTGATGAGAAGATATCCACACACATAGCCGTATTCGCAACCATATCCACACCCATCCCACACATCCATATCTACACCCACACGCACATTTATACCATCGATGTAACCTGATGCAAACCATGAGTACTTTATCATAGGTACGAGCAGATGTAGGACAACTGATTGTGAATGAGAGTTTAAACGAATGATATTATTTCGTTCAGACAAGTTAATCGCAATATCATCGAGTTGAACATAATCGAAAATATGTCGGGCAATCAATTTCCATTGTCTATTAAAGAAAGCATCAAGTGGTTGAATACGCGATGTAGTATGAGCCGGGATTTCTAGCCTTTTACATCCTTTGATAGCAGAATATATATCTGCATTCCTTTGACCAGGCTAATAGTCCGAGAGTAAGAGAAATTGCGATGGACCGACGTACGAAGTACATGATGTCTCCAATATTCAACTAATGAAGTGGTAAGTTTTCCCAAAGAGCTGCATGTTACAACGACATTTGAAGCAGGAAATAATTTGTTTTTTATATCTAATAAAATGTGAATTAGTGTGTTAAATATGGGATAAATAGTAGATTAACTCACTTTCACTCATCTTGCCCTTTGCCTCCTTCAAACAAAGAAAGAGGGGACCGACCAATTTTCCAGCAGCAGATATCATCAGCTGAACTATGTAAGAATGTGTCGTAGCATTTTTTGATCTCACACGTGCCGTAGTAACCTTTTCATCCTCATACGAAAGGGTTCTACTAGAGTGAAGCTCTAATTCCCGTCCAACTTGATCGGTATTTAAAATTTCTTCATGTGCATAGTTCTGCATCTGCCGTTTAGCATCACGTACGAATGAATCTGCAGATTCAATAATAGCATCAGTACCTTCTGTATGATGGCTAGTTACTAATTTTGTAGTTTTTCTGGAACAAATACGATGACGATATTTGAAGACTCGCAACCGGTGCTCAGATGCATCAAATACAAGACTCGAATCTTCAGCAACTTTTTGTAGCGCCCATCGTTTTAAATCTCTATCATGAACAGGTAAAACATTTTCTCGAGCTTCTTCAAATATGTCATACACAAAACCATCAATGATGTGTAACTTGTCTCGCTTGGTACCATGTTGTTCAATATAGTGACGAAAACGAGTAATATACTATCGGTGAGGAACAGATTTGAACCGATGTTGAGTAGACTTCCAAGTGTGTTTTTTTCTTCCTTTTGAGTCACGCGCGTCGTAATAGTCGATAACTTTTTTCATATACTCGAGACTGGAATTCGCTTAGGTCACCATATTCTTGCCCTCTGCTGACTTATCAAAACCAGGATCAATACTTTCATTAGCAGAATCGGCATCTTCATCTTCGAAATCATCAAATTCTTCTTCGTCATCGTAATCGATAGTGGTATCCGATTCAATTTGATACGATGTGCAATTACAAACATTATCGATCATCTTCAGTAAGGAATTGATAATTTCTTCCTCACATGGATTTGATCTTGTTCTCCGATGGTGTGGACCTTCACTTTGAGTCACTCGATCAACTAACAGTTTTGCAATTCTTGTAAGGCTAATCGTTGTTCTGATTAAGCAGTGGAATTAAAAATGAAATACTGTACAATGAATATTCACCACAATCACGTGTTTCACAAAATACTTTCGTACGCGTCAATGGCTATAATTTAGTCTCTATCATACACTATAACAGAACGCGATAAAATGTATCAAATATCCATTTCTTTCATCTGCTATCATTAAACTGATACAGTTATTGATGTTCTGGTATTTACAAGAAATAGCACGGCATACACAGATGAATTAAACGTTGAAAAGCTCCAAAATGATATACTAATAATAATATATAGTACTCAATAATATTTGAGCTTGTATTACGTTTTTCTTTGCGATATATTGTGGTGATATACAGTTAAAATCGTTATACTATCAGAAACTTGAAAATTCGATATCTCATGATAGAAAGACTATGGGCTCAAATCCTTTAGAATTTATTCTAGTCTAGAGGTCTTCTGTATGTGCCATAAATATGAGCTTAAAAAGGAGGAATCATCTCGGGCGGTTCCCTCGTTAGCTATGTGACTCAAATTTTCTTACAATTATTCACAATCATCTAGAAATTATATTTTTTATGGACCATATAACATAATATGTGAAGTAAGAAAGTAAGGATGCCATTGTCCTGCGATATTTTATTCATACTAGCAGGGAACACTAATAGAAAGCTAAAGAATGACACAAAGAATAATGAATTCAACAGATATATGTCAGAATCGAGATAGAGTAATGAATTTATCTTCAAAAAAACTTAGTTTGTCTGATGAAGGTTTTTTTTTAATTTCCGCAGTGAATACTATCGACAAGAAAAAGTCATTATTTGTTGTACAAGTTGGATCGATATGTTTCAACCTTCGATATTAGATGATGCTAGTATGTCCATTGTTGTTAATCCTTGGCTGTTCGATGATTCAAATGCAAGATCTAAAACAAAGCATTTAGGTATCAAGTTCAAGTTCGAACTCACTCGCTGAACGAAGTACTGTGGCCTCCGATGAACACAATGTGGTCCATTCTAATGGTAAACATATTGCTCGTGGTGTGCAGCATGAGTTTACAACGCATACAGATGAGTTCGATGCGCATTCACCCGTCATGATGTTGCAGGGTGTCAAAATAGAACAACGACTACCTGGTGCACAATAACTGACATTATTGATTGCCCGATAGTTAAAACATGGAGTCGATGATAAACGACAACTATTGTTACTAACTGTATTTATGCTGCATGACGGTAGTGCACAGTTGAAGGATGGTTCTCGAGCGGAATGGGACGATGTAGCTGTTGTAAAACGAACAGTTCGATGTCCAACTGCACAAGTATAGTTGGTCGGATCTGCAGTTTGATCTATATATTCAATAGGGCATAAGAAAAATGAGTAGAAGATGAGTTAACCGTATGTTCAGAGTATCAAAATGAATCGAGCAGTATTCATTTCTTCAAAAGAATTGGTCCTGTTTATGAAACTTATTTGATTTTACTCGCGGCTTTTGTATTTCTACATCTAAAGTACTAATAATCCTAATTTAGCATCTCTCAAAGAGAATTTGAGAACATCATTCGAATGAAATCACTCGTACGATGTTGAGTTCAAGCCACAAAATTACTGAGTACGTTCATGTTTCACCAATAAACGATTCAGATTCCATATATCAAATAAAATTAAAAATTGTGTTCTCCTAGAAAATCTCAACGGCTAGATGAGTTCGAACGAGTGTAAAGAAAAACAAAGACTTTAAGACCCTTCATGTTGACAGTTTTGAGAATGAATTTTCATTTTTCTCATCTATTTCTCGTTACTTATGGTCAAAAGTTTTAGAATTGGCACATAAACAATCAATGTTTTCCTGGTGAAAAAGATCATGAAAATCTTCAAAATAAAACGAAGTTTTGAAGATATTTGTTGAACATAGCCTATAAACAATTCTAATTCTGCTCCCTATGACTTTTCAAGTCATCCACTCATATTTAAGCTTCCATTGAAAAATATAGATTGCATAGCTGAACCTGTGACACCATTTTTTTTGCTTGAAGATTTCTCGATTGAATTTTTATCCTGAATGATTCGATATTTGTTTTAACCGTCACAAAAGTTCAATAGATGAGAGCCAAATCTAATAAATAATTACTTGAAATTAAACGCGACGAAATTGCTGTTGAGAATGACGTGTTCGTCATTGAAGTGATCCAACTATGATAGGCAGCTACACGAGTATAACCACCAGCATAGATTGGTTGTGCGCAACCGAAACTGTTACTAGTCACACCGACCAATATCCACTGATTGCTAGTAGTGAATGCCATTAGAGGTCCACCAGAGTCACCCACACATGTGTCTGAAAAGAAATGAACAATATACGATTTCAATAGTTCAGAAAAGTTTATGCGATCAACAACCTTTCCCACCACCGTCAACGCCGGCACAAAATTGTTTCGTCCAATCGGTTACTATTGGACGACAAGTGGTTGATTGATGGTCGACAACTTGCAATGTTACTTGTTGAAGTGTCGATGATACGAATCCATTTTCCGATGTTCTACCCCATCCAACTGCTACAACCTACAGTACTGTGCAAAATTCTAGACTTATCTATATAGTCATATTTATTTACACATTATCAGCCATTTAATATTTTTATACAAAGAAAAATATTTTCTTTTCGATGGATTCAAGTATGCCTTAACTGGGCATGAAATCATTTTTGCTCTACACGACCTTCACTTTCAAGAAAATGAATATTTACTCGAACGTATTGCTGATGGATTGCTTGATATTGAGAGTTGTTATTGATGATGCTCTACTGATCAAACTAAAATGGCTTGAAAACAAGCGTACAACATGTAACTTCACAATTTTCATGATTGTCATGACTTTTAAATTGATCAGAGTCACCTATTGCATATCCTACGTCCAATTTATTAATCAAGTTCTATTCATGAGGTTGACATTCTGTAATTTTGTAAGCAATCAAACATTTGAAACTGAAATTACAACGATGCTTCACTCAATCTAGTCTTGTACGACATGAAAGGACTAATGAAAAATAAATATTTAGTATCTTTCGGAACGATATTGACCTAGTTTGGTCATTAGTTAACATGCTATTCCTCGAAGAATACAGTTTTGAACAAAGTCGTACATATATATGTATGTGTATGGTCTTGAATTGGAATAAAACATTATTTGAAAAAATATTAGTGTACTGTTTATCAGATTTTGAGTACGAATTACATCGAAATAATGTGAAAGAATGATCAGATAGTTTTTTTTCCACCTGATGTGAATGATACTTCTAACAAAAGTATTAGTTATCGAGAATCATAGAATTATTTAATTAAAGACTTAAGTTGCAGAAATAGCCAGCGTCGTTTTTATAAAGTTACATAATTCAAAATATCAGCAAAATACCTTTCAAAATATCGTGTGGGCTCATATTCTCACTTATGATATTCAGAATCATAGTCTTCTTTTTTGGCATCATCGATCTATTGAAAAGCGATCAAGAAACTACGAATCATTATACATGAAAACTTTTTCCCAATCATTTAGAAGTAGTGTTTATGATGGCATAAGTTATTGATATCTCTCTTTGAATGAAAAGCTATATATCTAAACAGAAATGTAATGGTTATCAAATTTCTGATAGACTTATGTTAGCCATCTATTATAGTTTTTTGGAGTTGCAGGTGACTGTCTCATCTCGAGTCATGCATTATGTGATGAAATATACTTATGAATTTCATTAATTGAAAATTTTGTCGGAAAATTAAATATAGAATTGTGCTACATGCAAATAAAATATTTTTTCCGTGATTTATGATCTTTTCGCAGATTTATATGTGGCGTAATATACTTTCAAAGAAACATGCGTCGTGAGCTCTGTCACTGCGTGAAACTAACACAATCACTCATAATGCATGTTGTTTTTTTTGAATACATTAGCGTAAAAGTCAACGTTAGGCAACAGAAGTCTTCCACATTATCTTTTGTTTTATGAAAATGGCAAGATCAAGACGTCGACTTTGACAACAGTTATAATGGCTTTTTTGGAAAAATTCTTTTGCTCTTCCTTATTTCGGCAAGCAAAGGGTTAAGCAATATTGTAATGTAATTATCTATCTATGTTAATGAATTGCTTTTTCTTTTGCTATTTATCTGTTATAATACATATTTTTGGAGCTCAATCACAACATATGTTCTGAACATCTTTTCTATTGAGTTGTGAAGATGTGCAATTGCATTTTAAATATCAACAGCATAGTTAACTATGAATGCAAATGCTCTGAATGTTAGTTCTAGTATCTTGAATTGACTGCTTAAATTCAATCTCTATTTTCTCACGGCGAACATGACTACACAAGTCAAGTTAGTAAACATCTTCTATGATATCAGCAGCATCCCCTTAGAAAAAGACGTTGGCCATTTCTGTGTCAAGTCTTTGATTGAGTAGTTTCATTACTCTTGTTTACTAATATTGACACTAGCAGAATCATTCTGGCTATGTGGGCGAAAGAATTTTATCATTCTTTTACATTACTTCAGTGCCATTTATGTCAAATATTAGGTAAATGGTATACTAACATTTTCCCAAACAATCTTTTATTGTAATTCAAAATCATATATAGATATAGTTTTGTTAAGAATTGCATTCTGCAACAAATAGTATGCATAACTGTATATTGAAAATGTCACAAAAATGACACAGTACTAACTCTTTAATGAGTCTCTGCCGACATGAATAAGCACACTGATTTAGATTAACTAACCTACACGAACTCTCTACAAAACCCAAGTTGAATGACTGTCTATTTAGTTCTATCATTGACTGATGCCTCACTCTGTAGATGTAAGAAATTTTGAAGTTCATATTATCAAAATTAAAATTTTAAAATTTCAATATTCATATTATCTCTAAACCTATATTTCGATGTTTTGAAATTTTGATCTAATATGCACTTGTTCTTACCATTTTTATCTGACTCTACATTGGATATATCCGTCATGTCTTTACTGAAAAACAATTTTGAAAGTCAATGAAGTCAGCCGTTATCTACTTCCAATTATCAGTCATATGCAATATTTTGATTGAAAAATTTAAAGCAGACTTTAAATTAACCTTTCAACAATTAATCAAATCAGAAAATATCTTGATCATTCAAATGAGAGGTCCGTTAGATCTATATGTCGTCCTATTATGCAAACACTTATCGGTAAGAAATCTTACAAACCCTTGAAGACATTTAGTCTTTTTTTATTACGTCATCTATCTGAAAAAAGAGGTAGTATGTCAGTAAATCAATAGAACATCCATAACAAATTGAAATTTCGATTAGTCTTCTACATCTCTTTTACGAAAATTTTCAGAAAAAGCTGCTCTATCGGTATTTGTAATTTTCGAATCAAACTAGAGATATGTTCGGAAAACAGTAGCAGACTTAGACAACTAAAACTGTAATCGTAAATAGTCCCTGGCGATGATCTTGGATAGATATTCATCCTCGTGACAGTAGAATTGGTGCAGAGTAATAGTGACTCCGTATGTAGTTAGGGAATACTTGAATTCACCGAACAGAAAGAATATTTCTTTGCATACAAGTATTAAGTGGCTGAAAGTGACGAAATAAATAGGATTGTACACATGAGTCTATAATTTTGCAGTGCATTTTGTGCTGAATTTCAGCATAAAAATAGACGTTAGATCATTACTCACGGTTGTTTTAACCGGTGGCCACTCGCCAGCAGATAGTGTCTCTGCGCTAACTGATGCCAAGCAAATGGGTTTTATGCGCGGATCAGACATATTCAATGGCGGCGAAAGTTCGAGAAGAGTAATATCATCTACAAACGTACCAGGATCAAAGTCTGGGTGTGAAATCAGTTTGGAAACCACTCGAGTTTGACTGCCAGAATATACTGTATTGGAACCAGCATAGATGATGATTCGAGCTCCAAAATTTCCATCAAAACAATGAGCGGCCGTGATAATCCACGACGCCGATAAAATTGATCCACCACACAAAAAAGCGCCTCCAATTGAAATCGATACTGCCCATCCCCATGATTGCGAAGCGGCAGTTTCTCCTCCCACAATGCGCGAAAATATTGCTGGATTGTTCGAACAACCACATTCTACACTTGGGTCACATGAGTAAGCTGTTTCATGGCTTGGTTGAATGCTGGCAAGCAACACGACCAAATATAGAATCATGAGCTGCGCTTTTATTGTGTATTGAAAGTTTGTTATGAAAATGCAATCAAATGGCGAACACACCATAACAGTATACTTTTTTTTTCTTCCTTATCCTACAAGTAATCACAAACATGGCTTTTCATTGACATTCTTATTGCGTCTTGGCATATTTACTAACAAATATGGATAAGGAGGTACACTACACAACTTCTAAGCTTTCTTAGGCCTTTAGTATACCTTATTAGACATCGTACAAATTAACGAAGCCCAAGTAAGGTTTTTGAGTCTAATAGGTGTCGTTTAACACTATTTCAAGTTTTGCTAACCGAAAAGATTTCAAATGTCGGTGAAAGTGAGGTGTGGATATAGTTCTTCTCTTGAATCATACTCGCTCATGTTTACAGCAATATCCACACTCACATTCATACCTATATTCCCCACTTGCATCCATGAATATGAATCGATTTCGTGAAAGCTTTCCGGAAGTTCCTTGCAGTTTGATCGACCAGAGAGAATTTAGGTGAATCTTCTCTAAAACATTGTTCCGTAGTCGAAACGGTTATTGTCTTCACCGAAAGATATCGATCGATACCATGAAAATTTTCGGGAAACTTGATACAGTAATCGATGCTGTGACGAATTCTGTTGCTCAATAGCTTTTGCTCGTGGTGCGGAGTGCAGTGTGTGAGAAGGAGTGAGGGTTGGTGTGAGTTGGTGAGAGTGTATTTGTTGATATAGGTGAGCACTTTTCTATACAACCATGTTTCCATGAAAGCGGAAACTACTCTTCTAAAGTTCATTGGTTTTTCCCTCAACTGTTCCTTGAAAATCTGGAAGTCTCTTACGGATCCACAAAGATAGATCAGTACCTTGAAGTTTTCGTGAGTTCCGCCGGTCTGGATCGACTATTAGAAAAAAATCGCTATTACTCGAAAGTGTTTTTTTGAAATGAAAAAGCTTTCGCCTTGACTTACAGACATTCATTGAAGAGTGAACCTTTTTGATAACACGCACACTCATGGTAGCTGTTGAAAGTATTTTTCTCTACTTTCCGTTGATCTTTCTATGTTCCTTAAATCTTTGGCTGTAACTCAGAGAAATTGTTTTGCAGTTTGAAGCTTTTTGTCACTATGTGGACATATGATTGGCTTTTAAAGCGTTTTCCTTTTGTTATCACTGATTTCTGTGAGATCGAAAACAACTCCCCGTCTCTTAGAGGCATAAGTTATTAGCATGACGTTTTTTTTCAAGCACATAATAAATTGGCCGGTGCGCTGAAAATTTCACATCCTTTTAAAACGCTCCTATATATTGAAACACCTTTTGCTGGTACTTTCATATAGGACAATGTTCGACGGCTTTGTAATTATAATGTTTTTGCT